GGACGATGAGAAGGCTCGTCCCTGCAGGACAGCTCATCTCTGCAGGACCCAACCACTCCCAAGACCAGACTCTTCTGCTGCATTTGTTATCTCTTAAGCAGACTTCAGGTGCATCATCTGTCCCTCATTACTGGGAAAGCCTCCACAATCCTCTTTTAAAAGGGAAACATTGTGTAACTGTATTTGCATGAGGTCCCTAGCATGGTCCAGTTCACAGAGCAGGAAAAGAGGGGCCCAGAGGGTGCAGCAGGAAGCTGGGATGCAGTGGGAGACACAGTATCAGCTGGGGGTGATGAAAAAGTTCTGGAAGCTGTTGCTGATTGTGACCAAACAAGGATGCAATTGTAGTCAATGCCACTGTTGTGGCTGAATGGGAAATTTACTCACATTTTACCAGCATTAAAACATTCATTTATAAAAACATCCTTCTTTATATGGATTTCACTGAAGGAGATGGGCTTGGTGACCGAGTCTCCAGAAAGCCAACCTCAGACCTCACTGAGTGATGGATAAGAAGGCTGGAAGGGGGCAGGTGCTGTGGTGTAGTGAGTAAAGCCACCGCTTGCAGTGCCGGCATCCCATATAGGTGCTGGTTTAAGTCCCAGCTGCTCCGCTTCCAATCCAGCTCTCTACTGTGGCCTGGCAAAGCAGTGGAAGAGGCCCAAGCCCTTGGGCCCCTGTGACCACATGGGAGACCCAGAAGAAGCTCCTGGAAACCACGTGGGAGACCCAGAAGAAGCTCCTGGCTCCTGGCTTCGGATTATCCCAGCTCCAGCCATTGTGGCCACTTGGGGAGTGAACCACTAGATGGAAGACCCCTCTCTCTCTCTCTCTCTCTCTCTCTTTCTCTCTGTATCTCTCTCTCTCTTTCTCTCTGTCTCTCCTTCTCTCTGTGTAACTCCAACTTTCAAATAAATAAATCTTAAAAAAAAGAAGGCAGGGAGGTGGGCAAAGCCCAAGCTGGTTAATGTAGTGACTGATAGCCATCCTCTGGGGGCATGCAGCACTACCATGTAGTGGCTAGCGGCCATCCTCTTGGGCATGGAACATGGCCATGCCTTTGTTTTTGAGCTTTTCTGGCCTGGCTGCAAAGTCACCCCACAGTAGGGCCCAGGCCAAAGCTGGAAAGAAGCCGCTTTGTGTGCTGGGTGGCTCTTAAGACTGCTGCTCCAGCTCGCGTTTTCCTTGGTCCTAATTAACAGGGCCCCAGTTATTCAGGAGGGCAAAGAGCCAAGCATAAATACCATCCCTCAAGGTCCTTCCTGTGGGCTGCAGGCAGTCTGGGGACATGCATGGGTGCCATGGCCTGGCTCCTAGGAAAGCTGTTGATTTTCTGCCCCCAAGACGCCAGCCTTCACCTTAGCCACAGACCTTCCCCACTTGTTCTCCCTGGGACACAGGTGACTTCAGGTATGGCTGTCAGCTTGGGAACAGGGAGACAGGTCAGGATGAGAACCTGGTGGCTTTGTGGAGCCCCCAAGCCAGCCCCGCCCTACTCCCTGGACTCAATGCTGTGTGGACAGCCCAGGAAGAGCCTATTTGGTCAGGCCACAACCAGCAGGCTCCCCCATGTGCAGGGAATGGCACAACAGAGGATACAAGTCCACTACGGTTCTGGGATATGGCTGACCCAAGAGCCACTCATCAGAGCAGCTTGTCCTTGACATGCATTTCCAAACAAGACTTGGGACATCTGTGACGGTGCTCAGTGTCGTTAGTTATTTGCGAAGGTGGCTGTGCTCCAGGCCGATGTCCCAGTGCAGCCTGCGCCTGCCCTCAGGGGCACGCACAGAAATGCTCGAGTCCCCACAGCTTTTTCTTTTTCACTCTCCCACCCATTGGTGCCAGGGACTCTGCAGTAGGACAGCCAGTGTGGGCTCTGTGCTCTCCAGGTTCCGCTCACCACCTCTCCTTCCACATCTCGTGGTGCCACCACGACAACACAAGCATCACAATGTGCCAAAGGCACCGTGGGGTTGGAGGAGGAACGCGGGTGACTTCATCCCATCTGAAGCTGGAGTTCGACTTTATTTAACTCTTTCATGATCTCGGCAAAAGCCGTGATGGAGGTCCTGTTTGAGGCAGCCAGGTGAGCACGGGGTGGCTGACTGGAGACAATGAGAAATCAGTCCAAGTTCAGCGGGATTCAGTTTTCACAGAAACTAAGAAACACGTGCGTATCACCCTCTCCAATGCTGCTGGCATCTCGACTGCCCTGGGGACAGCCAGGGTGGCTCCGGCGCCAGCACGAGCGCTGTCCTCATGCCTCCTGCTCAGTGGAAAGCTGATTGTGTAAACGGGGAGCTCAAAGCTCATGCTCTTCTCTCCCTGCGCTGCTGCTGACTCTGGGCCGAGTCCCTGTCTCATTCTTTTTATGATGCGTGGGCACTTGTGTGCCTCCACTGTTCTGGTCAAGAGAACTTTTTCTTTGGTTGCCACTGAAGAGCTTATCAGTGCCTTTACCATCTGTCTCCATGGCAGAAGTGCACCGGGGAACAGACCTGGCCTCGCCTGTCTCCCTGACAGAGGTGCACCGGGGAATGGACCTGCCCTCACCTTTGCTGCAGAGAGGAGGGTCAGAAGCACCATCTTCCAAGCCCAGAGCTGCTGTTCTGGTGGACATAATCATTGCCAGAGGCCTTGTTTTCCTCTGTGACCCTACTGTACCCAGTTCTCTCCCAGATCCAGCCCGGGGGCCCTCCTCACACAGCTCATGTCTCCCTGCATTCCAGGGTCAAAGGCCACCTCTTCCTCCCTCTGTCCGTTACTCCTCATGGGATGGATCCTGCACCTGACTCAGCCTCCCCCTTCCTCTCCTGCCTCTCCTCCTGTACATGGGCCTGGATACGGAGCACCTGCTACAGAGAGGGGGTGGCGCTCAGCCAACAGCTGTCCAATGCAAGAGTGGACACTGACATGGTGGGAAAGAAGTGGTGGCAGCCTCTCCCTCCTGGCTTCACCGTGACTCTTTCTCTGGGCACTTTGAGAACAGCCCTGGCTGGAGTCCCAGCTCTGCCAGTGCCAGTGGTGGCCTCGGCAGGCTTTTTTCCCTTTCAGAATCATTTAAAAATTAACTTAAAAATCATGGATTAACATGAAGCGTGCAATTTCACATGGCGCAGTTCAGTATCTGAACCAATGTGAGAGGCGTGAACCAGTATCCTGCCTGCTGTGTGACTCGGTTTCCCCCTCTGCAGAGCAGAGGTCATCACAGAGCCTGCCCTGCAGGGACGCAGAGAGGAGGGGTCTGTGAGAGGTGCTAAGGCCGAGGCCCCATGGACGGCACACGCTGCAAGGGAAGTGTTTGCTGTTGTCACTTATTTGAAATTTGTCTGGGCTTCTGCATTGCAGGCAGTTATAAATGACCTACAATCCCGCCTAGAACAGGTGTGAGCACCCATAATAAAGCTGCTGGCTCTAAGCCAGAGGAAAAACTACCTTCGGCATTGTGCACATCCAGCTCCCTCTGTCTCAGCTTCCTCCTCACTGACTCCCTGCCTTCCCGGGGCCCCAGATGGAAAGAGCTGCATGCAGAGCCTCTGGCTCTGTGGGTTGGGGGTGTCCCTCCCTCTGACCACAGGGTGACACTGAAAGCCCAGGGAGCAGCCATACCGTTTGGTGAATGCACCCAGATCTCGTTACCGGCTTTCTCAAGGAAAACCCTCTCCTGAGCACCCCTGCAGTGTGTGGGGCTGGCCCAGGGCCGACACTTCCTGTGCTGCATGGAGACAGGGGTGGGCATGAGGCTCTGGGGTGCAGAGGCTTTGCCAGTCTACCACACCTTGCAAGAGGGTAGCCAGGGCTTAAGCCTTAATGTCACAGGACCCTCGGGACTCACGGCCTGGGGCAGAGCTGCCTTCTGCTCTGTGAGGCTGAGCTGAGAGCGCCACCATTCAGAACTCCAGTGCAGGAAATAAAGGGATGGTGGCATGAGCAGTGGGAAGAGGCTTCTTTTGGATGCAGGGCCTACTGAATGGCCTCAGGTGCAGCTCCAGCTCATGGCTGGTGGGTGGTGTAGCTTGGTTTTAAATCTCCATCCATTCCTCTTGCGCTGGGATACCTGCTGGAGGAAGATGGGTGTGGGTACAACACTTCCTGAAGAGGCACTGGCATGCTCTGATTTGTCTGCGGTGCTTAGAGTGGCCCTGGGATTTGGGACTGGATCTGGAAACTTCCTAAAGGTCAGTGAATTGAACTTGCTCTTCCAAGTGGTGGTCCATGTGGACACTTCTGTTTCCGGGTTCTAGGAGTGAAGATTCCTGAAACAGCTCCCAGCACGGCCGGCCAATGATGTATGGCACATGCTGGCCTACTGCTTCAAGAGGCACTGATTCACTTCTCACTACACCTGTCAGCCACTGTAGCCATCCTCCCCACTTCAGAGGAGAACCCCAGGTATGGAGGAGTTAGCAAGCCCAATTGCTGGGATCCGTGTGCCCCAGCAATCAGGCCTCTGAGCAGACACTCCACACCATGAGCTGCACTGGTCACATGGCTCTCAGTGGCCTGACTCTCCCCAATGGAACATTCAAGATGCAGACCAACCTCACCTGCTCACAACACTCTTATCTATCCTCGGAAGCAATTTCAGGAGCTTGCTGTTTTTTTCTTTTTAACTTTGGTTTTGTCAGCTTGACACATTCTAGACCAGGAAAAGCAAAATCAAAGCCTCACAGCCGAGCCCCCCCCACTCCCACCCCCACGGTGTTGCTGTGGTCAATATAGGGCTTAAAAACTGGGGTGATGACTGAACCAATTGAATTCGCTTCAATAAAATGAGTGATGAAGCAATGCTTTCAACTCCAAGAAGTCCATCAATTCCTCAGGAAAACCTCTCAAACAATGCACATAACACATCAGTGTTTCTGTCTGTAGCACAGCTGGGGCCACACCACGCAGCCATCTCTGACTTGGAACCCTAGGGTGCACAAGAACCCAAAAGGCAAGAAGGCTGCTGACTTCCCCAACTGCTGCTCCTGTTGGTTCTGTCCACCACTGACCTTCATGCTTGTCTTAGGGGTTGAACGCTGGCAGCAGACACACATGCTGACTTCCATAAAGAAGGGATCCCCAAACAGCTCACAGATACTCTGTACAAAGAACAGACAAAGGAGCTGCAAGGCTTCAGACACCAACACAAGGTAAGGGAACACACAGGCTGGTGGCCTGGATGGCCAGTTTAAGCCACGCACATGTTGAAATGCTGTACCGCTCCCCTTGAAATACACAAGTCCTACAGGTTAACCCAAAATTTATTTTTTTTTAAAAAAAGTACGCTGTGGCATACTAGGCTAGGTCTTCACCTACAGCACCAGCATCCCAGGAGGGCACCAGTTCCTGTCCTGACTGCTCCTCTTCAGATCCAGCTCTCTGCTTGTGGCCTGGGAATGTAGTAGAAGATGGCCCAAGCCCTTGGGCCCCTGCACCCATGTGGGAAACCTGGATGGAGTCCCCTGCTCCTGGCTTCCAATTGACCCAGCTCTGGCCATGTGGGAGACATGGAAGAAGCTCCTGGCTCCCGGATTCAAATTAGCCTGGTTCTGGCCATTGTGGCCATTTGGAGAGTGAACCAGCAGATGGACAATCTCTCCCTGTCTCTAGCTCTGCCTCTAAAATAAATAAAATCTTAAAATAAAACATTTGGATAGAATGCAAATACCACCATGTGCTGCCTTTGAGCTGCCAGCAGTTTTGGACCATTTACGGTGGATTTCCCTGAATCTTTCTCCACCTGCAGCCTGAGTGCACCTCACCCTGCCCCTCTCACAGGTGTGCTGTGAAGACCGAGTGAAACAGCACCCATAGAAATGCTTCTATGAACTTACACAGACATGGGGCTTCTCATGGTACACGTTCAGTGCGTGCTTTCGGCTGAGTTCACACATGCAATCCTGGCTTCTAAGAACACTGTGAGCTGTCCACTGCTCCGTGAGCAGTGAGCCCAGCACCTGTCTGACCTCGGGGCTCTGCAAGTCAGCAGTGCTGGCAGGCTCAGTTCAGAACTCTGCTTTCGAGTGCCTCGAAGGCTGAGAGCTTGGTGGCAGGAGGGGTGGGGTCTTACGTGAAGGCTCCACTGGGAAAGGACGTGTTTCCCGGAGCCCATGGCCACTGACAGTATTCTGCTCCTCATGGGCTGTGGGTGCAGACCACCCTCAGCTTACTGCCAGGTGAGTTTTGACAAGCACTGTGGCAAGAACACCACAGAGGCCCTCCTAGCAATGAGACATTGGCCGTACCTGTGCATGTCATCATAGTTGGTGGTTCAAGAGCCTACACTGGACAGAGTGGCACTGCATATGGGCATGGAGCCAGGAGGGGCCCTACAGCCAGGGAGCAGCTGCCTACACCAAACACGAAAGCCTGCCTTTCCTAAGAGCAACAGCCTCTGCGGACCAATGCTGGACACATGCCAAGTGCACAGCCTCCCTGTGGAGCTTGGAGAAGCCAACTGTCCCACCCAAGCAAGCAGCACAGCCAGCTTCAGATCACAGACCCTCTTCACCGGTCCCTCCTGGAAGGTGAGATGCTGAATGCCCACTTCTCAGGGCTTCACAGGTAAGAGCTTAGCGGCACTGACCTGGAACTTCTACACGAGGGAGCATGTGGTAGCTGTTGGGATGGGCACAGGGACTACTGGGCAGAGAACTGGCCATCGAGCTGCCTGGGCCAGGCAGCACTCATTTGCTGGCCTTTCGTGCTGGCTTGAGGCACTACTGAAGATGAGAAGGGGGTGCCTACTCCTTGTTGAGATTGCTGGGAATAGCAAATACAGTAAAGGCGTATGATTGCACTCCCCATCCCACCCCCACCTATTTCCCCAGAATTCGTATGCAAATCAAAACCCTGGTGCAATTGCACCAGGAGGGGGGCCTTTGGGAGGTAAACAGTGTGATGAGGTCATGAGTGTGGAGCCCCATTGATGGGACTGGTGCCCTTAGAAGAAGCAAGGCTGGATCCATTCCTCCCTTCCCTGCCCCCGCAGGATGTAGCAGAAGCAGACGAGGGCCCTCTTGGAAGACAGATCTGCCTGCATCCTCACCTCAGGCTTTGGTGTCTGCACCGGAAGTCACACAGCACAGCCACAGCCTAACCCAACACAGTGACATAGTCTCTGCGTAGGAAATCACAACAGCCTAACCCAACATGGCAGCATGGCCTCTGCACAGGAAGTTATGCACAGCACAGCCACAGCCTAACCAAACATGGTGGCATGGTTTTTGCACAGGAAATCACAACAGCCTAACACAACACAGCAGCATGTTGTCTGCACAGGAAGTCACACAGCACAGCCACAGCCTAACCCAACATAGTGACATAGTCTCTGCGCAGGAAATCACAACAGCCTAACCCAACATGGTGGCATGGCCTCTGCACAGGAAGTCACGACAGCATAACCACAGCCTAACCCAATATAGTAGCATGGTCTCTGCACAGGAAGTCACACGCAGCACAGCCACGGCCTAACCCAACATGGTGGCATGGTCTCTGCCAGAACTGGGGATCACACCCAGAAACTCCAATGTGGGACACTGGCATCTTAACCACAGGCTAAATGCTGTCTTCCAGAATGTTTTTTCATCAGTCATTTGAAAATGAAAGTTAAGTCAGACCTGAAATCTAAGATTTTGGAGTCCTCAGGGATGTATAGGCAAGGTTATGCATGAGAGTTATTTAGGTGCTCAAGAGTCTGTAATTTAGAGAACAGAAGAGGCCAAACATCTGTGACAGGATGTCATGCTTTGGGAGATGTGTTGTGCTCCATTAAGAGACTGAGAAACACAAGTCAACAGGTAGCAGTAGCACCAAGGGAGAATGCTATTCTAGAAGCTAAAGAAAAAAATGAAAAAAATTATTTTTTAAAGATTTACTTACTTATTTGAAATGCAGAGTGTGAGAGAGAGATCCATCTCCCATCTGCTGGCTTACTCCCCAAATGGCCACATTGGCTGGGACTGGGTCAGGCCAAACTCAGGACCTGGAACTCCATCCAGGTTTCCCATGTGGATGGCAGGGACTCAATGACTTGGATCATCTTCTGCTTCTTTCCAGTGCATCATCAGGGAGCTGGATGGGAAATGTAGCACCCGAGACTCAAGATGGTGCTCATATGGGATGCCAGCATCACTGGCAACAGATTAACCTTCTGTATCACAATACCAGCTAGGTAAAACAATTCAAAATGCCAGAGAAATATAAATATCAAAGAAATGTCAAATAAACTTCCAGTGATGGCATTATGGTGCAGTGGGTTAAGCTACCACTTGGGATGCCTACAACACGTATCAGAATGCCTGGGACTGAACCCTGCTTCTGCTTCTGACCCAGCTTCCCATTAATGTGCATGGATGGCACCGGATGATGGCCCAAGTACTTAGGTTTCTATCACCCAGTGGGAGATCTGGATGGAATTCCTTGTTCCTTACTTCAGCCTGACCCAACCCCACCTGTTGTGGGCATTTGGTGAGTGAATCATCAGATGAACCCTTCCCCCCCAACCCCAGGTTGCATGCTCTCTCACTCACTCTCACCCTCTCCTTCCCTCTCTCTCTCCCCCTCCTTTTCCTTCCCTCCCTCCCTCCTCTATCTCCCTCCCTGTCACTTTGCCTTTCAAATAAGTAAGTCTTTTTTAAAAGAAAATTTAACAGGCCATTGGATTTATGATATCCATAATCATTTGATTAAAGATTTTATATTTTATTCTTAATGATATATGAACAGCCTTTTTGTTTTCGTAACCACTTCTGTACAAGAGAGTAACAAGATAAAAACTGTTCTCCAAGAAGTTTGATCTGATCACTTCACATAGGATAGACTGAGATGAGAAGAAATTGCAAGAGTACAATTGTGCAGATAAGAAATGAAAATCAAACTAGAGTGATATCAGTAGGGACAAAATGAAGAAGGAAATACAATCAATGTTTTTCAAGAAATGCAAATATATATTATTTATAGAAAAATAGAAATAAAAGCAAATATGAAGGGTTTTCAAAACCTTGTGGAAAATTGAATTAAAAGGTCTTTATTTTGTACAACAAATTTTGAAACTATACATGTAAACAGTTCTCAAAAACTTCATGGAAATGTATGTTATGCAAAAATGGTACATGGAATTCAAAAAAAAATTTTAAAACCTTTTATTTATTTGAACAGCAATTATATTGGGGGTTGGGAGTGAGAAGATACAGATATTCCATTTACTGCTTCACTCCCAAAATGTCTGGAATAGCCAGGTCTGGGCCAGGATGAAGCTTAGGACCAGAATTCCATCTGAGTCTCCCACATGAGTAGTAGTGGCTCTAGCAGTTGAAACCTCTTCCTCTGCCTTCACAGGTACACTAACAGGAAGCTGGATTAGAAGTGGAGCAGCTGGGACTTCAACTGTACTCTGATATTGAATTCCAACATCACATGCTTAACCTACTGCAATTAATGGCAAAACTTGTCTTCAAACAATACTTTATACTTTGTGTGTCTGTGGGTGCAAACTGTTGAAATCTTTACTTAGTATAGAGTTGTTATTCTGTATATAAAGATAATTAAAAATGAATCTTAATGAAGAATGGGATGGGAGAGGGAGTAGGAGATGGGATGGTTTGGGAGTGGGAGGGTGGGTATGGGGGGAAGAACTGCTATATTACAAAAGTTGTACCTATGAAATTTATATTTATTAAATAAAAGCTTTCTAAAAATTCTAAACTAATAAGAATGATTATAATAAATGATTAAACTTAATAAATGGCATAAAAATTTTTGAATATTTAAAAGACCTGTTGCAATCCAAGTGCATAGTTACTTGCTAAGCAGAAACGCTAATGCAGGTGCCAGATGTGCTGGTATCAGGGATGCCTTGGTAAAGAAGTAGGGAATTCGGCAGGTCACTCAAGGGAGTTTTATGCAGAAGCCAGGCACAGCAGTATTTTAGCGCTGAAGAGAAAGTGTTAGATTGAAAATTATGTATTAATGTCCAACTGGGAGATCAGTAATTAAGTCAAGGTGGAGTTAGTCATTTTTTTTAAAGGATTTATTTTACTTATTTGAAAGTTACAGAGAGGTAGAGGTAGAGTGAGAGCAAGAGAGAGAGAGAGGTCTTCCATTCTGCTTGTTCACTCCCCAAAAGACTGCAACAGCCAGAGCTGAGCTTGTCCAAAGTCATGAGCTTCTTTCAGGTATTCCACGTGAGTGCAGAGGCCCAAGGAGTTGGGCCATCTTCTACTGCTTTCCCAGCCCATAGCAGACAGCTGGATTAGAAGAGAAGTAGCCAGGACTTGAACCAGCACCCATATGGGATGCCAGCACTGCAGGCTGGGACTTTACCTGCTATGCCACAGCACTGGCCTCACTCTCTATATGATATCTTTCTATGTTTCTTATTTTAATTGTGGGAGGGCTGGATGAAGCTCCTGGCTCCTGGCTTCAGATGGGTGCAGCTCCAGCCATTGCAGCCATTTGGGGAATGAACCAGTGGATGAAAGATCTCCTTCTCTGTTTCTGCCTCTCTCTGTCTGTGGCTCTAACTCTCAAATAAATGAATAAAATATTTTAAAAAAGAAAAAGTCAGAGGGGCCCATGAGAAGTGGTACATCCTGGATGATTCCTTGGAGAAGAGGGCAGAACAAGTGCAGAGCTCACCCAGAAGTGCCTGGGGACAGTTTTTCCACTACTACATTTTAATGGGGACAGCCACCACCTAACCGGTACCCCACCACCACTCACACCAGAGGCTTAATTGGTGAATCCTTCCAGACAGCAAGAATTGGGCCAGGAGCTAAACATGGCAGCCTCCCATAGAGCTGCAACTGGGGGAACAGGCATCACAGATAGGGACAGGCCACACCCCACTAAACACAGGTCAGGTTAGAAACCGCTGACCAGCTGGGAGCTTTCTTCCCAACCTCATTGTCTGGGAGGGACACACTGTGGAGTTGACTTAGTGGGAAATCTAGGAATTCAAGTCAAGATAGTGAACAGTCCATTGTGATCCCCAAGACTAACATATCATGGGCAATTTTAATAGAGGTGTCACAGGCTGAGGAAGGTGACAGGCATGCTCTGCTGCAGACCTGTGACATAGCAGCAGGGACTCCAGGCCAGAAAAAGGAGTCC